CCTCCCTCCCTCCCTCCCTCCTTCCTTCCTTCCTTTTTTCTTGTTTCGTATTTTGAAGAAAAGAAATCTTTGCTAATAGAGCCAATAAGTGATTTAATTATTAGGGCTGCTTGTTGGTCACTTTCATTGGCCAGGCTTGATGAGGGGAATTGGAGTCATGGTATGAAATTCTATGGAACCTGAGGTACAGGCCTGTGAATCAAAGCAAACTTGGATTTGCCTCTATGAGTTACCATGAAAGAGAATCAAAGCAGCTAATTCTCTCTTGGAATAGTTGTCTTTTCCTTCTTTTCCTCATAAAATTCTTCTCACTTGCTAAATTTTATATAATACTCATAGCATTTTGTCAAATATACTGCCCTGTGGTCTTGGGGATAAAAATCTCATAATACCCTCATATTTTACTGGAGGGCTTTCTTTGCAACTTCAAATATATTAGCTCATTTGAAATTCTCGGTAATTCTCCAAAGTAAGCAGAACACACAGATAAAGCTACTTATTATATGTAAAACTGACCCCAGGCAAAATATTGATTTATGGTTGCACATGAGTATACAGCTGAAAAATTGACAGAGTCAAATCTAGAATCCAGGTTCTAGCATAAAATTTTGTATGTGGTTTTCTGCAATTAGTGGATTCATCCACTATTGCTGTTAACTATGTCTTTATGGACATCAAAAGAGAACATAAGTGATGAATGCTACACCAGCAATGGATGCTACACCTTGCATTTTATCACTTTTGAAGCAAGAGATGCTTTTACTCTGAACCTTATTTTTACAGTCTCTGTCACTGAAATGTAAAATTATTTCTAATACTTGTCACTTCATTAAAAACAATGTGAATTTTTTAAAAGCAGAAACTGTTCAAATTCAGCCTTTAGCCCCTAAGCACAATTCATATTACAGAAACATAATTTAATAAACATCTACAGAATGCATTACTATTGATTCATAAATTAAAACAAAACACACTTTTGTAAGAACTATACAGTACCAAGATTTAGCATAAATCATTTTACTTATATCCTTCACACAGAGAAGTAAGGTTGATGGTAGTGGCACTGGCAATTGTTAAGCTTAAATTATTTTGATTAACTCAAGATTTATATAATCCATGTTGTTGATGACAAAACTGAGTCTTGTGAAAATTAGCTGGTGCACATCTACTCTGCTAATCTCTTACAGGGGTAGAGTTTAGCCTCTTGCTTGCTTTAGTCTAGCACCCATGTTCCCCACCATTCTGCTATGCTTGTTTGGTTTAACTGGGAGAAAGTGAGTTATTGGCAGATTACTTTGTAAAATGAAATCAGTAGTAACAGTGACCATTTACTGAGCACTAATTACATGTCTGTTCACAATCCTCGGGAAACAATGAACTTTGTCATCCTTTTACTTCTTTATGGAAAGAAAATTAAGAGATGAAATGGTGTCTATAAACTGGTAGTGAGAAAGCCAACATTTAGATCCTTAAAGGTGGTGGTATATGCTCTGGTTCCATCTTGTCCAATTATTTAGTGATCATAATAGTAGCTTAATTAAAGCTAAAATCCATTGACCACGTACTACATACCAGTACCACAAGCATCATTTTTATGTATGATAGGTCCTTCAATGTGAAACATTTAAAATTAGTTTATCTATTCTTTGAGAATTTCATAATATATACAATGTATTTTGGGCATACCCAACCCCATTAACCTCTTCAGATTCATGCAGACCTTCTCATCTCCCCATCTCAATTTCATAAACTTTTCTTCCTTTTTTACATAAATGTTTGTTCCTTTTTTTTTTTTTATAACATACTGATTCCAATTAGTGCTGTTCATATGATCATGGATGTAGGGTCATACATTAGAGCACAGGCAGCCTATGATGGGCCACACTCCTGAAGAAAACAGACTGCTCTCCGCATCTCAGTATCCATAAACTGTCAACAGTTCCTCAGATTGGGGTGGAGTCTCATAAACCCATTCATGTTTGATGACCAACTGGCCTGACCTTGTGCAAGTATTGTTCGGGTAGTTACAATTACTGTGAACTTATGAGTACAATAATAGCCCAGTCATGTCCAGGAGACATTATTTCATATTCCTATTTCCCCATCTCTGGCTCTTACATATATCTTGAAGACTTGGGTAAAGTAACATTGATCAGTGCCCCTAAGAAAATCTCTTCACAGCATAAACATACTGAAAGCTGGATTCTCCTAGCAAATATATGTTTTGGTTATTAAAACAATTGGCTGTAAGGGGTTAGTTAACTCAGGGGGTCTGGGCTGCTCAAGTCCTGCACATTCCAAATGTCTGTGGGACAATACTTTGAACTAAACTTTTTGAAAAAGATGTGTTGTATTCCTGGAATCTGGTGCCATGCAATATTTATGCTAAAAATGTGATTGTGGCAAATGTCACATTTTGTACGGAGGTGCTGGGCTATGCTATATCAATTGAGGTCTGGAAGGGCCTGGAGACTAAGGTCAGTTATGTGCTCTGTGTGTTTGAGTGGGTTTCCTGGTTGGCAACATTTCACAGGTAAAGTCACACATCATTGCTGCAAGTCAAGCAATTTCTAGGGAGCTTCAATGGTATAAACACCTAGAAGCCCAGGCCTGTTATGTCTCTGCCCTGTGTGAAAATCTCCTTTGTTGATTTTACTTTTTATTCATTTTTTTTCTGTAACAAGCTGTTACTATAAATATGAGAGCTTATTCGAGTTCTGTGTTCTTTGTGCAAATAATGATTTATTAGGACATGGTGGTAACTGACAACACAAACCGATGAGATGCCTCATCACCTTATAGACAAGGACAATTGGCATGCTCTATCTCCAATTGGGATACTTGGAAGAAAACTGGTCTTTGAAGAACAAATGGGCAAGAGGCATAAGTTTTTCATTACTCTCTAAATTTGGAAACAGTTGTAGGTAAGGTAGGGATTGTTGAAATTGTCCATGGGGACTCTGCTGAGGGTGCAAGCTTGTGGAAGCAATGCTGCCGCCAAGGGAACCCCACACGCTAGAGGAAGTGTTGCTCATTTACACTGTCACTGAGCACACATCAGGTAGAACACCCTGTTGGTTAGTGAGATTTGGGAATGGGTTTGGGAAGGTGTCAAAAGGACCAGCACAAGCAGTCTGAAAATTCAGTAGTTAGGAAAGAAATCTCAGAAGGTCCACAGAAGGTTGAGCAGTGTGGTTGCCATAACTTGAGCCTCAGTGAATAATTGCTAGTTTTAGATAGAGACCAGGAGGAAATAGAAGAAGAAGGATTATAAACAGAGCAAGTAAACACATTGCAAATGCCTTTGGTCATACTAGGTCAAAGAAGTGTCAGATGAGGATTCACCTTGGGCAACTAGCATAATAAAGAATGTGTTTCATGAATAAATAAGAACATAAATAAATAATACAATATTCTTCTGCTCTAGTTTCTCAAGTAAACAAACTTATAATGTATTAATTAACACTTCAGTTGATAAAACACTATTTATAAATTCAAGATTTTTTTTTTGTCAGAGGGTAGAATAAGGGTTGATTACACCTTTGCCTGCCAGAATGTCCTTTGTTCTTTTATTGACTAAAAACAGCAAGTCTTATCAAGTAAATTCATTCTTATACCACAGGAATGTATATGTTATTTAAATATTTAATGGAGTGACACTATGTTGGTATTATACAGATTTACAGAGCAGCAAATAGACATAGAGAGGCCACTTGCTCCGGAAACATAGCGAGGACCTAAACTCTGGTTTCCTTTGTCAAGAATAATGTTGCCTTTTCTACTAATCCTGTAGGCTGTTATCTTTTATCATAGGATTCTCTGTGAAGACTCAAAGTGGCTATCCAAAAATGTCTTTCCCATGGACCACAATTACAGAATTGTTAGATGTACGAGAATAGGATGATGCTCCCAATTCTGCCTCACACTAGAAGTGCATTTCTGAGCCAGGAAGGAGAATGACAGGGCTCTGTGGCTTCTTTCTCCTTGGCATTATCAAATCACACACCATGTTTTTGTTTGAATGTTGAATGTTCCCCATAGGCTCGGGTATTTGAATATTTAGTCCATACTTAGTGACGTTGTCCACTCTCTTTGTTTGATGTTGAAGACGTGATATCTCTCTTGTCTTCCTGCTCCAGCAGTCTGTTGCTATACCTTCTCTACCATTATTGACTATCCATTTACAATTGTAAGCACAAACTCTTTCTTCCTTAAGTTGCCCTTGGTTGTTGTGATTTATCACAGAAACAGAATAATAACTAACACACATCATCATGGTGTACAATCAGAGAAAAATCATTCTGAATCTGAGCCATTCCATCTCCCCATCAGTAAAAAACCCTATTTTCTGAATGAGCCCACAGTACTGTGGGAAAGATGTAAAAAGCAGAAAGAAACGAAGCAGATTTTACAAAAACCATTCTAAACTTTAATTATGCTAATTAACAATCCCCTTGAAAAATAATACTCAAAAAATCTTCAGATAGTTTTGAATAGTGCATTTCACTGTTTTGAAC